TGATTTGATAATGCAATATTATTATTCTTTTTTTTTTGCTCTTTTTTTAAAGCTCTATTTAAAAAATATTTTCTGTAGATTTTTCCTTTCATTTGTTTGAAATAAACTCAATTCATTCATTCATTCAAAAGAATTTAGCATGTTAACCTGAAGAGATTATTCTGTGGAATTAACACATTCATTTTTAGCGCATTAATGCATGAATTCAAAATTCAAAAATTCTAATTGGGGGGTCCCGAACACAAACTTATGTTATCTCGGGGGTCGTGGCTCAGAAAGTTTGGGAACCACTGCTATAGACAGTCTCTGATGTCTAACCATGTAAGTTATTCATGGTTCAGGATCATCATCTCACAATCATGTACAATCAAGTTAAATACAGTAGTGGTATTAGAAAAAAAAACAAAAAAAAGCTGAGACGCCTGCATATTATTCAGTTTGTCCTAAATTGCAGCCTGTGTGATTTGCTGATTGCAGTGTTTCAAGTTTCGATTTTGATTTGACGTAGAATAACTGTTAAGCCCTAACGTCGGGGTTGCTTTTGCCTCTTTCCCACATCTACTTTTTTGTTACTACCAGGACTGAACCTGCTGAACTCATGTGTTCCCACAAACGCTCATCTGATTTTCTTTATTTTGCAGGACTGAGCTGTGTTTGCCAAACGGGATACCAAACTCTCACCACTGATAAAGCCTCCATTAGCTGTCAGCAGTGTCCCATCGACAAGCCTGTGTGTGCAGTTTACCCTCAATGTCTTCAATTTAGTTCACATTACAGTGTAGAAGGTGTACACAGTGTTTGTAATATTGTTTTGTTGACATTTCCTTGTTTACAGGCGGTAACGAGGGACGGCTTTGGGTGTATTCGCTGTCCAGGCAGCCTCAATGATGAGGGGAACTGCAAGTGTCCACCTGAAAACATCCTGGGTGAGTCTCTGAAAGTGAAGTGTCACAATGCTTTAATGCTAAATGTGCTTGCTTCAAATTTAGCACAGGGATGTATTAATTACTTTATGTATGAAGCTGAGTATGGGCTGTTTGTCCCCCCAGTGGAAAGAGATATCAATGGAAACCTGCTGGATGAAGCCAGGTGTGAAACGTGCAATGGAGAGAGCCCAGCTTTGACTGTACCCAACAGCAGGGGAGATAGGTATGCAATCAGCTTTTTCACACAGATTTACTCAGAGGAGGGTGACAAAAGTGTCAGAGGTTCTACATTTCAGAAGTCATATAGTCAGAACAGTAAATTAAAAAGTCAACTTCAAAATAAAACCAAAAAATAATTATTATGTTTACACAGGTGACCTCGACTACTGGTGTTGTACATTTGAAATTATTTTAGCCTTAGTATTACCTGCCTTAATAGATGTTAAAGAAGACTTACTATTACAATTTAGGGTGTTATTAATCCAAGTCTAGTGCCCGTATAGTGTGAGTATGAGAGGACACCTGCAAAGCAAACCTACAGTTTACCACAAAACAAAACAGAAAGAATTGTCAGATTTTCAACTTTCCAGCAGTCTGTGAACTTACCATGTGCGACTTGTAGTTCAGTTAGGATAACTAAACAAAACAAAGCTTGAAATCGTGATATTTCACAAAAATCCCCGTATTCTATATGTCGTCTTTTTAAAAATACTATTTTGTTGCATGAGATTCTGTAAAAAGCGAAAAGATTCTGCCCTCCTTGGTGCAACCAAAAGTCACGACTGACTCAGCTGCGAGTAACAGTCTTATGATAAAAAAATCAGGAACTAATTAGACGTTTAAATAGTAAAATATCTGTAGTATGTGGAGTTTGTTTGTTTTTTCAGTGTAGGTGGACTCTTGGAAAAATTTTGGTTTTGAAAGTTTTTTCAATTTTTGCAAAATAAACAGAGCTAGAAATTCAACTTTTATTCTTTTATTTTATTTTTTTTTTTAAGATTTATGGCATAATAACTGTGTCACACTGTGCCAAAGTCATTTGGAGTTCTCTCTCTTTCTAGTCATGGTTGTGCAGTTTCCTTAGAGATATAGGATGCTATGTTGCAGGAAAAAAGAGCACAAAATGACCATCAACTGCTTGGAGTTCAGAGAGTTAACAAGGAAGTTAATTAACTACTAGAATCCAGTGAGACGTTCCTAATTAAAGGCCAAAAGTTGTTGAGATAATATGAGATCTAAAAGGGATTATTTAAACTCCTGTAGCTGGTAATGTTGTAGTGTTTCCTCTTGTTATGTTGTTCTCTTCTTATGCTACAAGGACGGATTTTATTCTATTCTTGACATATTTGCACATTTTGTTTCACTCTGCTAAATGCCGTACTCCTGCTTGCTCTTTCTTGCTCTGTCACAACTGATATAATACTGCTAGGATGTAAACAAAAATAAATATACTTCTTTGCGTAGTATATTGAGAGATGAAACTCTTCCCCAAACATGTCTTTTAGGTGTGAGAGATGTCAGGCGTCCTTCATTAACACTTCCTGTGATTGTAACTCTCCTAATGTCCTGGTGAGTTCACACATCTCTCTAACATCCTCTCCAACACGTCACACGTTTATTAACATTTCCTCATTGGTTTTTATGTGACTATCCAGGCAGGAGGACTATGTTTCCGTCCAGGCAGCCTCTCCACCAACGTGAATCCCAGCGTCAACTATGCTCAGTTGGTGAGTCTCCTTCCCTCTCGCTTCCTAGTACATGTACACTTGTTTTTCTCTTCTCTGATTTACGTTTTCTGTTTTGTTCCCATCGCAGAAGTTCAGTCTCCAGTCTGCCTGGTTTCTGGAAAACCTCTACGCCTCTTCAGCAGCCTGCCTTGTAATTCCAACACCATTTTTTCTTTAAAAAAATATCTCTTTATCTAACATCATAGGGGGCAAATTGTTGCAGCCACCCACTGCCGTAAACAACATGCTAATCATGACGCAGGAGAATATTTAAGATTTTATGTTGGTATTTAGGACAAAAACATGGTTGTATTAACCCTCTGAATCCAAAAACAAGTTTAAAAGATGTGTTATCTTTAAAAACTTGCCAATTTAGACCATTTATCAGAGCCAGAAACTGGAAAAACAGGAAAAAAATCATCAGATGATCTGTTTGATCGTCCTTGAACTAATCATGTGTGATGTGTAGTTTTGTTGGGAAAATTTAGCAAATATAAGTTAAAGTCGTGATGTTTAATTAATGTATTTTTTGCTGCACATCTCATTTTTAAAAGTTCCAATTGCACCGAATTCTGAAAAAAAACAAAACCTCAGTGCAACTAAGTAGCCGTGCCTGACTCAGCCGTAACCAACAGTCATGTGACGTAATCTCAGTGGATATTTAGTTGAACTACAGGCAGTGTTTCAACAGGGCAGAGATCAAGTCTGGAGGCAAATTAGAGAGACCTACAGCAAAATAAAACATATTTTATCAATAAAATAAACGCAGCATGGCTCAAAAATGGTATACAGAGGAGCAAGTTGTTGAGAAATACATTCAACATAAGGAAGCGAGTAAAAATGTGACAGGAGCAAAACAAATGTCCAAAAAGTGCTTGGAGTTCAGAGGGTTGAACAGAATTTTAACAGTAATTGATGGCAAAAAGCATCAAATGAGAAGTACATGTGACAAAATAATGAAAATTAATCAAGCAAATAATTGAAAAGTGTGAAATCCTTTTGCAGAAACAGCTTTTTAAACAAGTGTAGTGCTCTGATTGAAGCAGCTAGCGACTGCCACAGTAACATTAGGAATGTGTAAGGACTCTTCTGAAGCATTTTGTGTGTAATTAACTCTTCCTCGTCATGTTCTCAGGTGTCCTCCAACCTGACGGCGTGCCAGGCTCTCGGGAACATGTGTGTGATGAACATGCACTCGTTCAGCGGCGTTTCCACCGATGCCTGTGGTCTGTTTAACACCATCTTCAGATCAAAGGCGGCTCTGAGCTCAGCGCAGGACATTTCTTACTGGTAATCACGTATAAATTGTGACAATCAATGAAACATTTCAGTCCCATTTGCTGTAATTTAGTTTGACTTCGATGATTGTGTGTCCAGGAGAGCCAACCTGCCGTGGCTGTACTACGGAGACGAACCAGGACTGGCCAGTCGAGTGCTTCAGACCGAGCCTGTTCCCTCTGGGTTCAGTTTCAGAGGAAGAAAGAAAGTAAGTGGTCGACTTTTATCATCTTCACATTGAAAAAATCGCAAAATTAAAACTCTAATAAACATAATCTACAAAATACAATCTTTACATAGTATTTCACAATAAACTAGAAAATACTCTTTGAGGTGACATTTTTGTTTATTTTGACATCAGAACACAGACATCAGACTGCTTGCTGCCATCTATAATGTCAGAGGAGAGTTTCTCAGGTGGGAACCAGTAGGAGGAAGGAATCTGCAGGTAAGATGTGAAATGATAGAAATCCTATTTGCATGGGACCTACATCATCCAGTCACCTCTAGCAACTAGTAGCAACTGCAGAGGTTTTCTTTAATCTTCATCTGTGCAAAAATTCCAAACACAAAGGACAATGTAAGTCCTGTGCGAATCAGTCTGTGCCTGATAGTGGGTTTTTTTATTCTCCTTTTTTTGCAAGATTTTTTTCTTTTTTCTGTCCCTTTCTTCTGCCTTGTTTCCTCACTCAAGAATTATTGCAGGGTGTGCACGTTTGAAGCATTCTGGGTGCAAATTCAGAAGGCTCCCCTCAACATGGAGACCCATTCATTAAAAAACTCAAATACACCAGAGGAGTAAAATTCTGGAAGGATGTTTAGATGGAGAAGGTTCTCAACAGCTTTATGTGGCGGCATAATAATATATTATATACAGATAATGTCAGTAAATTCAAGTAAAACATACACTTTGCTTACTCCATGTAAATATCAAAATTTATTTATTAGTCCCTTGCAAACACAAGTTTTGTCTGCAGCATTGCCACTTATAACGTGCATGTAGAAATGCTTGGTTTACCTTGTTTACCACCACTCACATTAACAGCACAAATGCATCAGTTGTTATTTTTTCGCAGTGTGTCAGCCTGACTAAATAACACTTTTTTTTTACACAATTAACACAAAATGTACAATTTAAAAAGCTGATTTATATTCCACATCACCTCCTCTCTTTAGCTTTGTCCACAACCAGCCACCAAACAGGCAGCAGCCTTCAGCTTTGGAACCGCCTACCAAGAAAGTGTGAGTGTCTCTTTACTTCATTTAGCTCAAAGGAAATGTACAAACTCTCTAATAGACTGTTTGTGTTCACAGTGTGATCTTTCAGTAGCAGAGCTGCTCGGTTCCCATCCTGAGCCGCTGTTCTATGATGTGTTTATGGACGTCGGCGGAGGAGAGAACACAAGGCTTCTCCCTCTGCCCACATTGGTCCTGAACCAACAATACAACGGAAGATTCATTAACCAAGGTGGGATTTTATTATTTAAAGGACAATATCTATAATTCAGTTCTTCATAGGAAATATAACTTTTTTCATTCATGCACATGAACTTCCTTGTTGCCAATGTCTACAGTTCAGCTACAGGTATCTGCAAGCTGAATTGTGGATGTCTGCAGCTGAGTTATGGCAAGTCGAAAATCAATTTAGTTTAATATCATAATTCTAGCGTCCTTCAGCATCGTTGCCTCGCAGCAAAAAGGTCGCCGGTTCGCGTCCTGGTGAGGACACCAGGCATCTTTCTCTGTGGAGTTTGTATGTTCTCCCCGTGCAGCGTGGGTTCTCTCTGGGTTCTCCAGCTTCCTCCCACACAGTCCAGAAACATGTTGAGGTTAACTAGTGATTCTAAATTGTCCGTAGGTGTGATTGTGAGTGTGCTTAGTTGTTTGTCTTTAAGTGTAGCCCTGTGATAGACTGGTGACCTGTCCAGGGTGTCCCCTGCCTTCACCCTGAGTCAGTTGGGATAGGCTCCAGCCCCTACAACCCTAATAAGGATTAAGTGGTGTATAGATAATGGAGGGATGGATTTTGAGCTGAAATTCTGTCGAGTCGAAAAGTGATCACAGATATCCTGAATTAGAGTTTTGACTCGGTGGAATGATGTTGCAGATTTCTTCAGAAGCTAAGTGGAGAGGTCTTGCTTTTCAAACATACTGTGCAATACTCTGCAACCACATATGGCAGCTGTTTTACCGCCATGTCAGAGCAGCTGGAGGTCAAAGTTCTAGTGAATTTCAACCCCAAGTCGCTGATGAACGAAGCTCTTGTTCTCCAAAAACTCCTTGCTGATGAGCTCCTTCTATTTCACAGTGTTTTCTAACAGTGTTTTCCACCGCAGCAGCTGAATTCACTTCTGTTAACACTGTTCAAATGCTTTGTTGGGCCTCGCGTGAGCAGCATCATTGCAACAATTCAGACTAGTCATGACAATGTTTGATGATGTTATACATATCTGTACTTTTATTTCTCAGTAGTCAAGTTCAGCTACTACGTGTTAAAGAGACTTGTGTGTATGTGCACATTGCTTTGATATGTTTTGTTTTTCTACAGAGAGCATGAAGAACTGGTACTTGTCCAGACGGATGTTTCTCATCGACATGCTGAGCGGGAGAGAGAAAAACACAAATTCCCTGCCCAAAGTCATCCGTGTAGCGAGCAGCGTCAAAATAAGGTAGACTCCTGATGTCACACCACCATGATGAGAATAAATAAAGTGAATCGGCTGTGCTGGTATTGGTCAAACATTGTGTGTTTGGTAGGTTCCAGCTGGTTCCACGAACTCAGGAAGGACAAGTGTTTCCTCCTCTGATGGTTGTGACCTACAGAGACATTCCCATCACGGATATCAATGCTCAAACTGTATCTGTGAGTCGATTTGTCTTTCTATACCTGTAAAGGCACTCAATGGAAAAATTATGAAGTCCCTGAAGACACTGATGCTGCTTCATCAGTCTGTTAAAGTGACGGCATTCTATCATTCAGGCATGAGTCACTTTTACATTCATGTTTCTCACAGCTTCATTCAGAAATAGAGAGACGCAATATCGTCCATACAGATTGAACAAACTATCAAGGGATGTATACACAAAAAAATAAACAAGAGGCTAAATCTAAACTAAAAGCATCTGGTCAAAATTTTCAATGACGAACAGCCTATGTCATTTAAGATTTTATTAGATAGGAAAAATTCTGTCCATGTGTGATGATAATCTGCTACTTTACGTATAGTAAAAAAAAATATATATATATTCCAACAACTGTGATGAAGCTCAGTGCTCAACCTAAAAATAATTTACCTGCAGCTGATAAACTGTGAATCTGTCTGAGGTGAAGAAAAGTCCACAGAGTGACTTTCTGTTGGATCCTGATCCATCCTGTCTCCATGTCAAGGAAGATTTATAATTATTCCTAATTAATTAAGTTACTGCTGGAGCTCCATGTTCATAAATGCGACCAGCTTTCTGTGTTTGGAGGTGCTCATATGGATCCTGAACTCCTAAACAGCTTGAAGCAACAAACATGTTAACATTGTGTCAAAACCTGGATTACATTCATTTTCAGTGAGTCTCCTTAATCTGACCTGTTAAAGAGTCTGTCCTGATCGCAGTAAAGTTATGGCCATTTCAGTCTGTAATAGATATGAAATTGTAGAGCAAAGTAAACGAGAAAGGCACACAAACTCTCGTGTTTTCCTCTCTGTGATGCTTTTGGTTCAATGTTGGTGCTGAAATGTGGAAAAAGTCTCCACGTCTCAGATCTCAAATCTAAAAACAGTTCAGATTTGTGCCACAATAAAATTGGTGCAGAAATATACAGCATGTTCTTCTTTCTCTGATGCTCTGTTATTGCTCTTTTAATGGGCCTTTTAAGGTTGCACTGTCTTTATTAATGTTCTAATGTGTTTTTTTTTAATGCTTTCTTTAATGTTTAGTGTATTTTAATGCTTTGTAAAGCACCTTGTAACTCCAGTTTAGAAAGTTGCTACAGAAATAAAGTTTATTAATACTATTATAATTATTATGTGACAACTTTTAGGGAAAAGTAAGCTCATTCAGACATGAAGCCTGGAGGTTTAGAGGCATTTAGATGAATGGGAACGGGTGCACATCTGAAGAAGCTTCAGTAGGCTTTCTTTTAAAATGAGAAAAAGACTTCCTTTACATTTGTTTGGTTTATTGTTTGTCTCATTTATCTGTTTGTAGACTTCCTTTGCTGTGGAGTACGAGATGGACCAGAATGAGGCTCGCATGAAGACAGATGTGAGTAGAAGCGTGAACGAAACAGTAAAACTCTTGCTTTCGACTGATGCTTTCCAGTGATACGGTGTCTGTGTGCACTGCAGACTGCTTTAGGTGTGATGGGTGGAGTCGCTGTACTTTACTCACTGCTCAAGACAGTCAGCTGGAAGAGGAGGAGTGCAACGACAGACGTTGATGGCGTGGTACTGTCTCGTCTACATGTCATTATTTTAAGCTACTCGTTCATTTGTAGCTCAGAATTAATCTCAGTTTCTTCTTGTTTGTGCCTCAGACGTTGGTGAACTTTCTGTTCTTTTATGCTGGTGATCTGGCCAACGTTTTCTTCATCGTCACTGTAGGAACTGGCCTTTACTGGCTCATCTTTTACAAGGTATGTCCCAGTCCTTTAAACTTCAGGCCAGATGCATCTTGGATCTTCAATGCTCGTACCACTGTCTCTTTTCTGAAGCCTTTTTTTTAATCTTTTCCAAACTACGAATGTTTCTTTTGCCTTTGCATGGATTTTCAACTTTTTTCTTTCCTTCTCTCTACTGTTTAGACATTAAAGGTAAATCTTTTTCTTCCTTTACCTTCTCTGACCATCATTTCATAGATATAGATGGGATCATTGTTGGCTGCACACTGGGGTTCATTATTGTGTTTGTCTGTTCAGGCCCAGCAGTTTGTATCAGTGCTGCTGCCGCTGCCTGCTCAGGAGGAGAAGCTTGTGACGTACATCGGTTGTGCCTTCGCTCTCAAGGTTGGACGCCTGCTGAACTGATATGACAAAGAGCAGGATTGTTGTTTTTTTTTAAGCTTTCAGATATATCTCTAAAATGGGTTATTTTGTGTATTTGTATCCAGGCCATCCAGTTTCTCCACAAGCTGTTCAGTCAGGTGTCGGTTGACATGTTTCTCATCGACTGGGAGAGGCCACGGAGCAAAACTAGCAGAACTGTGCAAGGTACGAGCTTGTTTCACCTGAACTTATAGTTTGCAGAGCTTACTGTTCAGCTCTTTCATTCTCTTCAACCTGTTCGCGCTGGTGTTTCAGCTGCTGGTGAGTCGAAACGTGAGCCCTCTCCGGTCAGCATCTGGCGGACCTACTTTGTGGCCAACGAATGGAATGAGATCCAGACCATCCGCAAGATCAGCCCGACGTTTCAGATCGTGACTGTGCTCTTCTTTCTCGAAGTACATCTCATACTTACACTTTCTTCTTTGTGCGGCTGTTGTCTTGTCCTTTTCCCTCGTAGCTGACTGTCCCTCTGTCTTGTTAAGGTGCTGGGTTTCTCCAGCCTGGCCCTGAGGGATCCCTGGGCAACGTTACAGCGCCCCTCAGAGGCCTACACGCCGTCATACAGCCTGACGCTGCGCTACGGTCTGGCAGCAACACTGTGGATCTGCATTGGACTTCTGCAGGTTTGTTTCTACCTTTCTTTGCTTCCATTTCACATCTACCCAATGAGTATGCAAAGTTTTCAGCCTCACCCAGAAAGAAGGGGCAAAATTTTGGGCCTCATTTGGCTGCTTCTGCCTCCGTTGTTGTGTGGACAGGTGCATTGTCCTGGAGCAATAGCAGCCAGCTTTTCGCTGACTGGGTTTTTGTGGACAGTAATATAAGGCTCTATAGTCTACAGTTATGCCACAAAATGGGAGTTATGGCCCTTGTTCCCAGGTGAGGCCAAGAACTTTTTTGAAATACCTTCCTCTCTGTCTTCACCCTTAGAGCCAAACAGATGCATCCAAATTCACATCCTTTCTTCTTAGTTAAGTTGTTCTGGAGGTATTTATTGTTATTGTTTATTGTGTAAATCAAATGAAACTACACAACTTTTCAAATATGTCAGTTGTTTGTGTCTCAAATTGTCGCTAAGGAAGAAAAAATTCTGAATTCACATCAAAATTAATCATAGCTACATGATACATCTCTACAACCATTACTCTGGTTTGAATTACTCATGAACCCATCATAACAATATCTAGATATGTTAGTATAATATCACAGTGAAAGGGCAGAACCAGTTTGATTTGAAATGATATTATTATGAAGACAGATCAAACTTCTGCAGACTAATATCTTTACTAACTTCTGATTCAATTGTCACGCTTCTGTTTCTTAGCTGAATGAAGCACAAAGTCCCTGTCGTTTTCATAGCATACCACATATCAAATAAACTGCAGAACTTTACTTCTCACATGATACTAGATAGTAGGAACTAGTTGTTTGTCTGTGTGTCAAATTTCTGCCTTGTCTCCATCATACAGTACTTCTGAAATTACATCCCATTTTGTATGAAAAATAAAAACAAAAATATTGGATTTTTTTCACTACAGTGATTCAAAAGTGTTGTTCAAAGTGGAGGTCAACTGTGTGCAAGTGTTCAGTGTTGATCCTGAAGGGCCCAAAGCAGAGAAGACATTAGGGGCCCTTGTTTTGAAGTTGTGGTGGCCAAACATTTGCCATCTCTGAAAGCAGGCTACTGCATGTGAACAGTGAATATAACAGTGACATATTCTTATGTTAGACACTGTTTTGTTTTTTTTCAATTTCTAAGTAATACAGCATCCCACTATCATGGTTCTGACATCTAACCTACACAACTATAAAAGTATATCGCTACTTTCAGCATTTTATGATAAGAAACATGTAAAAACAATCTCGCACGATGAAATATTGTTTCCTTGATATATAAAAAACATCTGCAAAATGATGTAAGATCTGGATAGCTGGGACTATTCAAGATGCAGCACGTTGCGAAACTCTGTATGATAACCCAGATAAGAGTTTAAAAGTGAAGCAAGTGAAATTACCCTGAGAACGGTATATTTGCTCAGCGTATCCCTTTGGCCCCTACAGGTGATTTTCTTCACTGTGTTTTATGAGCACTTTGTGGAGGACAAAATCCGTCAGTTTGTGGATCTCTGCTCCATCAGTAATGTAAGTAGCAATGCATGTATCATATTCAGCTTCTTTCTCTCTGTGATATTTTACCTAAATGTTTGGATTTTTTTCTTTCTGTGCAGATTTCCGTGCTGGTCTTATCCCATAGCTGTTTTGGTTATTACATCCACGGACGCTCGGTGCACGGACATGCAGATACAAACATGGAGGAAATGAACAACAATCTGAGGAGAGAACAGGTACGTACACCAGCAGGCTTTTAGACTTTGGGTTGTTGAGGTATCTGTTTAAATTTCTAAGATATTTAGCTTACTATGTTAAGTGCCATGAGATGACACATGTTGTGAATTGGTGCTATATTGATATTATATTGCTACATGAATTGAATTAAATTTGCTACTAGCTAGTTTTCTATTTGTAGTACATATTACCTTACTGATTTCTTCCTGTCTGTCGTTTTCTGTTGCAAGGAGTCTCTGTGTGGTCAGAGAGGTTTACTTCCCAACACTGACATCCAGACGTTCCAGGTTGCTCTTACAAAATCTCTTCGGTCACAGTACAGCAAGATACAGGATTCAATCAGCAGGGTTTGTATTTACTCTGTCGTGTTTACACCTCTACTGATAAACGGTTCCTTATTCTGCTGTTTGAATGCTGGATTTTGTCTCCTTTGCTTCAGAGAAACAGGCCTTCACGGCTGACGGACGCCACCATGGGTCACTTCAGTGAGCCGCAGTGCAAAGCCTACCACACCATGAACCACTTCTTGGCATCTGTTATCGACCATGTAAGTAGAAATATATGCGAAAAAAGAGCACACTCCAGCTCACTGAAACCTGCACTGAGGCCTGCACTCCAGAGCAAGCTCAACATATCCAGAGTATCTTTTCATTATGTGATTTACTAAGCTGTACAGCCACAATAAGCTGGTTATCAACTTATTAAGTCAACCCAAGTTTCTGAATGTACCTCCGTGCGCATTCATGTAATAGGTGTTGGTGTTGACACCAGTTCACCCAACATGCTGCATATTTCTCACAAAAACAACACACTATAATCCAGCCGAAGGAAAGCTGTGTGAGTTAAACTCAACACGCTGGATCAGAGTCCCGCCCAGAGCATGTTTGCACCACACCCTGATGTGCGCTAAGGCCGACAATTGTACAGCAAGGACCCGTCTATCGCTGCTTGCGGCTTAAATTTAGCTGTATTTTTCCAGCTCCAGCAAATTAAAAAACAGAATTCACCAGTAAGCAAACACATTCAGACCTTATAAGGTCAACAAGTGCAAGGCTTTGGTACTTTATCAGTATATTTTAGGATTATATTGCCATACAAAGGCTCATAGAACAATGAAATGGCTTTAAAATGTTCTTGTAGACTAGACTTGACTTCACTGAGAATCTATGTCTCTTATCTTTGCTTTTTAAGGAAAGGAGAGGGTTTAGATAGTCTTTAAAAAGTCTTACCCTCCTCAGAGACCCTCATGCTAGCCATGCACACAGCTGCACTGGATCTTCTACAACTGGTGATGCCGTTTTTCAGGAGAGCTGATCTGTAATCTGGATCATAACCTGCTGCTGGTCAGATGTGCAGCAGAAGAGAACCGCCATTGTAACCCAGAGTTTAACCTAAAGTTACCCTGCTAACCCCGAATCCTGCTTCGTAGTGCCGGCCTCAGCAGTGCGGTTTAACCTAGATGCATATATTTGGTACATATGAGTTTGCTCTCTCTCCCATGTTGTATTATTGACCTCAGGCCTTCCCTGACAAGGACTACATAGTGAAGGACAAGCTGATGTTTGAGAGGGTCGTCGGGATGGAGTTCCTTGAACCCAGCGAGAAGAGCATCTTTTACAACGGTATCGACCTGCTCTCGACCCAGACAGTTTAATATTTCAGCATGTTTGTGCTCGTCTGTGTGTCTATATGATGCGTGTTTGCGTTTGTCGCCACAGATGAGGCCCACTCCTTCAGCAGTGTGCTGTTTTATGGAAACGAGGGCACGCTGCTGATCTTTGACACTCTGTTCTTCTGTGTCGTCGACCTCGGGTCTCAGAGCTTCGTTCTTGCAGCTGTGCTCACATATGTCCAGCAAATGGTCGGTATTTTGGTGTGTGTACAGTATGTTGTATTCAACATACAAATATATTAAAAGCTGTCTGGTTCATTACAGATATTCTGCTTCATCCGTAACACCCTTGGAAGAAGGAACCTCGCACACAAGACTCTGGTGGACAAGAGATTTCTGATCTAAATTCTCTGCTTAGTGTTTGATTGTGTTGTTTAGTGGCGATTCTCCACAGAATGTTTACTGTTCACAACTTGTGCTTCTCTTTTTTTGTACTTTTCATACATTTATAGTGTTTTCGTTGCTGTTTTGCAAATGTAAATTTCCTAATTTTTTGGAAGATTTTAATGTTTTTATTGATTAAAATTTTTTGATACTTGGAGAATCTTGCTTTGAATTTTATTCTGACACATGCTAATTATAATAATATTGTAATCATGACTATTTGTATAGCACTTTTTAGAACACAATTTGCAAAGTGCTTTTAAATAAAGAAAAAACAACATGTATAAAAAGTACAGGCAAACATTCAATATAAAAATACACACAATAAAAAATGGAAAAGAACAGACTGGGTCACTCTTGAAAGGTGTACTGTTAAAACTGATTAAAAAGACGACATCACAGGAATGAAGATAAAAACTGAAGAGAAAAGTAAGATAAAAGTAGATTAAGAAAGATAAAAGAGAGAAGGACGGCAGGTAGTACTAATTTAAAAAAAAAGGGAAAAGAAACGGGAGAAAATCTAAAAGAGAAATAACAGAGAACATCACTTGAAAGTGAGTCTATAAAAGTGGGTTTTAAGAAGTGATTTAAAAGAAGATACTGAGTCTGCCAGCCTTATTTCCTCAGGCAGGTTGTTCCAAAGCTGAGGGGCCCTCACCGAAAAGGCCCGGTTGCTTTTGGATTTGAGCCTTGACTTTGGAACAATTAGGAGGGACCCACCTGAGGATCTAAGGCTGCGTGTGGGGATATACGGGGTTAACATGTCTACCTATATAACTATACAAAGTTGTCAGCTGTTTATACCGTAATACCTCTAACAGTCTTGGTATGTTAGGCCAATGTGGACTATGCTGACAATGAGCGAGATTGTCACATGGCATGAATTCTGCATATTTTTATGTTTTATTGATTTGCCAAAAGGTAATTTATGCCACACAATCCTAATAAAGTTTATCCTTTTGAAAGAAGTCAGAAGACACCACTACATATGGATTAGTCAAAACCAAAACCCATTGACCAAGTTTCAAGAGTCTTTGAGACACAGTATTAATAGTATTAGTATTAGTAGTGATAGATTTCACAAGTCATAAACTCTGTCTGTAGACTCTGTTGAACTGTCTGGTCCATATTTGACCTATGTAAGTAGAGTGTTTTTGCACAGTGCATCAGAATAAATGAGATATTGCAGATTACAGAGAACTCTGTCACTGTGTTACTCAATATTATCAGCCTCTTAATCTAAAAGATTAAACCCCTGATTTCAGAAGCACGCTGCGTACGTACTGACGTCACCGCGTCGGTCAGCGCTCATCCAATCAGCGCCTACTTTGCGGTGCGGCGCTCCAGAATGAGAGGGAGAGGAGAGGGTCGCTGCTAAACCATGAACTCAAATAACCGCTGCACTTCCGCCGGCTAAGGTGAGTCCAGCTTTCTCTCCAGACTTCTTGTCCTTCTCCACATTCACTTTCATCACGAGGTGAGTCCGCAGCCGACAGTTTCCACCCGTCGCTGCCGTGTGTTATGTAAGCGGACAGTTCGACGGTAGTTGGTGGGTGTAACCGGGGACGCTGCCGCTAGCATGAATTTTGGTTTCTTTGCCTCTTTTGACTGACTCGGTTTGAGAGTTTAAATGTTAATGTCATGTCCTGACTCTGTTTGTCAGCCTCTGTCAGCTCCGAGACTGAGCTTCTGTGCTGTAAGTCCAGCTAACTGCCCTGAGGCTAAATATTTGGAGCTGCTTCGCAACTAGCTTGGAGAGACGGTGCTGAAGTTAGCTTCTGATTCGGACGTTAAGGGGAAACTTAACTTATTTCGGCTGAGGGACTAACTTTTTGTTGTTAGACAAAGTTAGGGATGCAAAACCTTGTTAGACATTTTGGGTAAACTCTTTATGCTGTTAGAGATCCATTTCCAAGTTTATGTAACCTTTATTCTATTAGTTTAAGTACAAAACAGGGAGATTTCACTGCTTTTTTTGCATTAAGACCATGTAAAACCAGCTAAATACATTATGTCTAGACTAGTCAAATATGAAGTGTTTGTTTCTACAGATTCTGATCTGTGAAACATGTGTTCTACTTGTTTTTGCATGTGCACCACCTCAGACCAAACCCAGATCTGAATTTACTACATATAGATTCATCAATTCTAGATTAAATTGTCCCGCAAAGGCTAAAGTGTCACACGGCTTCTGAATTGGAAAACAGTTTTTGTGTTTGAGAAAATGCAAAAAGGGAGATTTGACTGTGCTTCTCCATGTAGACCACATCCAGATCAAAAAAACACTTCATTTAGGTGGGTCAGATAGGGATTACATTGTGCTGCACAGTCTAAAAAGTGTTTAAAACACAGTTGTGTAAAGCAGTTGTTCTATTAGTGTGAATGGTAAATTAGAGGTGTCACTGCTGTTTTTTGCATGTAGGTCACTTCAGACAAAGTTCAGGTCCGAAATCACTACATATAGATTGGTCAAAACCAGAACACAGTCCTTCTGAGTTTAGAGTTGAACAGTCTGTAGGACCAGTGAAATCTGTTTATTTGCATGTTCCTTAGTAGAATTAGATTTCAGAAGTCATTAAGCCCGTCTTTAGACTCTGTATAACTGTCTGGTCCGTATTTGACTTGATGTGCACCTGGCCTGTTGTGGTCTACATGCATAAAACTGTGAAATCTGTTTTGCGTTTTCACCAAAAATAAATAAAAGATTTTAGATTTTCCATATGTAACCTATCTAAAGGGACTGGTGTTTGATCTGGACCCGGTCTAATGTAGTGTGCATGCGAAAATAATCCAATGACTTCTCCATTTTTGCATATTTCACTAATCGAATGAAAATTTCACAAATCAGAGACTGAAATCTACATTTTTTTGTGCATTTTTACTAATATCGATAAAGTTCACAATTTTAAAAGTGGGCTCCAGGCACCATGAAGGGTTAATCTAACATGTAGAATATGGTTTTACGTGACTAAAATCTAAGGAAGGAAACAGAATCTGTTGCTCAGTGCTGTAAGTTCAGTTTCCATTAGCTTGTCCCTTTACTTCCCAATCTGAATCTAACTTCAGCGTCGTCTGGGAGAGGCTTGTGATGTCAATAAACATGGCAACTTTTCTTGCAGAGCTCCGGGCTGGGACGGTACTCAGTGTTCTGTGTGACTCATGCACAGCCTGGGAGGATTTTTTGGCTGCACAGCTTTTTCCAACACAGCAGGGTCAGTCTGTAGGACGCTGTCACTCTAGCTGGAGGACACCGAGCGACTGTGCTGCTGCGTCTTGCTCCACTACACTGGCTAAAAGCAGATTTCAGATGTTGAGGGGCTGCATACTTAAATTATGCAATGAGAACAGATTACACGAGGACATTCATGTCAGGATCTAGTTCAGTTGGTCACAGCCTGTCAGAACATTTCTCAAGAACTAAATGTCAGGGCTGAATTACTGCCAAAGCTATTTTTAACGTGGCGTGCTGCACTGTTGACCTATCGTTGAAGAAGAGCTGCAACTCACCCCACAGGCCACCTCTGGTTATACCATCTCAAACACAAATTTCCTTAAGATTTCACGACAGAGAAAGTTAACTGTCATGAAGGTTTGATACCAATAGCAGCTGTTGTTGCTGCATATAAGATGCAAATTGAATGCAAGTGAATCTGAGGAATTTTCCCTGAGGCATTTTTGTTCCTCATGTGAACACACTCCTTCCTTTGTTGTTGTAAATAAACAGACAGCTGGGTGTTATACAGTGTGTTGCAGGGACTGACCAATAATTGGAATTGATATTCAGCATTTTCCAAGTTATAGGCGTTGTTTGTTTTTTTTTAAGCTATTTTCTGATTTGAAATGATGCAGTGCTGACAGAGGCATCTGAAATAGTTTTGTGCTTTGGATGACATTCCGATTTGCACTCGTCATACAGACCTTTGTGCTGCTGATTTAATTGTTCAAACAAATTACTCATGTTGCCTCATGATATAGTAATTGCAGACGTTACAGTATCTCCTTTTGAACAGCATCATCCGTTCTGTAGCTGAAATATTGCCAGGCATCTTTCTTTTCTTTTTCTTTTTCTTTTTTGCAACCTGATCTTCCTTTTTGATGCTTCTCTCCTGTTCCTCGCTCATTTTACTGTGCTAATGTGGAGCCTGCATGTCAACAAACTCTTGTAGATTATTCAGGGGAAATGGGAACAGTGGGAGTTTTGTTTTTGCATTGAGCATCGTAGCTTGAAGTGTTGGAGTTTATTTGCATTACTTTACATTGCAATGTGCCCATTGCAGTGTCAGCGGTGAAACAATATATTGTGCAGCCCTATTTATATACCTATTTTTGGCTTACTCTTTCTTTTGTCTTTTTTTCCAGTTAGACCTCAGATCTGCAATTGTTCACCACTTAGGAATGTCATTGCAAGCGCAAAAGAACGCGATTAAAGTTTGCAGAGGCTTCGGTTTCTGCAGTTAACCAACAACCTGTTAAAACTGATTTAATCTAAATTGCTCACAGGCAAAATGTGTAAATGTTCACAGCAGGAATCAAGGCTTAAAAACAAGAAAGCCAGCAAAGATTGTTTAGGATATAAACATTTACTGGCCTTTGTGGTGGTTTGCTGTCAAAATTTACCAGCTTTTTATTTAAGTTTCCACTTCTGCTGGTCTGTCTCCACTTTAAAGCCACATCACAGGATCTCAGTTTGTTTGCATGCTGTTTGCTTAATGGTGCATAGAAGGAACACTCTGTTCTATGAATGCATCTTTTTAGATGTGCCTGCAGCTGTCACACCTCTGAGCTCGATGTGTTTCCTCCATAGGTGTGTGTTCGTCAGTGGTGCAGTGTTTGTGTGCACCGTCAGCCATGCCTGTCACATCCCAGCTGCTCAGGGGTTTTCCCCGTGCCAAGGTCTTGGCCTCCAGTCTGTTACCATGCCAACAACACCAGTCCCAGTTCGGGCCCGCCACTCACCGACCCGCCTCACGACATCCGTCCCACGTGTGGCAGAGACACCAGCCGTCGAGAAGTTACCGGAAAACCTCAGCGCTCCACAGCTACATCCTCACGCCTCCACAGGTCAACTCCATCCTCAAAGCCAACGAGTACAGCTTCAAGGTTTGTGGGTTCGTCTACGAACAACGATTCTCGCTGCCTGTGCATTTCATCTCACTTGTTTGTTTGTGTTTTGGCTCCAGGTGCCAGAGTTTGATGGTAAAAATGTCTCATCAGTGATGGGATTTGAAAGTAATCAGCTGCCAGCAAATGCTCCCATAGAAGATCGCCGCAGCGCAGCTACATGCCTGCAGACCAGAGGAATGCTGCTGGGTGTGTTTGATGGCCATGCGGGCTGTGCCTGTGCACAGGTACAGCTGCTCTGTGTTACCTGTTATTTGTTCTGCATTTTTGTAGAGGCACTCTTTAAAAACATATAAATCTCCTCCCTCTAACTGTCACTGTGCAAAAAGTAAAGTTATGTTTTGTTGAAGAAATTTTACCGGTAGTCCTCATGTGAAGTTAGCTGTAGTGGGTGTTTATTAGTATTCCGGTATATGGTTTGCTTACCAACACAGAGCATGAGTCTGTGATGGTGAACCGACCCCAAACATTTGCAGAGTCACACATTTATAGGGTATGTCAGAGGGTGGGGGAGGGGGCCTGTATGTAAATACAAAGTGATGCATGGTTAGTTAACATACAGTTGCTAATCAAATGGCAGGAGGTAAGGGGGCAATGAACAACAGGGGGTGGAATCGGGGGTCTGTGACAAGAGGTAGGAAAACACATGACAAAAGGTGATGGGAAAACACATGGCAACAGGGGGTGGAATTAAGGGTCTGGTGACAAAGAAAAGAGAATGACTTTCTTAATTATCATCAAAATGAAAGAATGTCTTTCTTTATCAGTTTCTAGCCTCAGGCAGTGATACTTTTGTTGGGTTGAGAAAATTGAATGAGTCTTCAGAGAATCAGTTTTCAAAACGTAGGTCATTTAATTTAGCAACTTTTCATACTTTGTAAATTGAAATACTCACAAATTTGAAATAGATTTGCAGCCAGATTGTTTATGAATATTTTTCCTGATTTGTAAAGGCATTAACCTTCTGAACTCCAAAACTTGCCAGTGGTTGTTTAAAAAAATTGCTCAAATTATATAATTTATCAGTAAGACACTGTAAAAACAGACAGAATCATCAGATTTTTAACTTTTATAACGGTCTGTGAATCACAAGAGACATGCAATTGCGATAGAAAAATTAACAAAGTGTCTGTGAAGATCCTCAGTCATCCAGGTCATGGTTAATCTCATAGATTAATGGTAGCAACTGGACTTGCTTGAGTTCCTTGAAGACATTCCACCTCTCATCCAAGAGGCTTCATCAGCTCTGACTGACTAGTTGGGAGTTCCAGATACTGATATCTTTAAGGAGCTATTAACACCTTAGTTTCGGTTTCAATTGGGCGTTTGTTGCTCCTCCCCCTGGTCATGTGAGTCGTTAGGGCTCCCCCTGCCACAATGGTGTTCGTTGGGGTCTTTTGTGGCTAGGTGTGAATGTGGCAGGGGGAGCACTAACGACTCACATGACGAGGGGGAGGAGCAACAAACCCCCAATTGAAACCAAAACTCAGGTGTTAATGGCTCCTTAAGGATATCAGTATCTGGAACTCCCAACTAGTCAGTCAGAGCTGATGAAGCCTCTTGGATGAGAGGTGGAACGTCTTCAAGGAACTCAAGCAAGTCCAGTTGCTGCCATTAATCCTCAAAAATAAAAATTAACAAACTATAAGCCTAAAATCTTGTTCTATCAAAATCAATTTATTCTATGTGCCTCATTAAAAAAATTTGTCAAAATATAAAAAAAATTTGTGCTTTATGGTACAACTGACACAGCTGTAACCAACAGCCGTGCGACAGAAATTCTATTTTCCATTTAACAGAAGGCTATTCTCACACAGAACCGAGAGAACGCAACAAGGCTCAAAAACAGTAAAGAGAGAAGCAAGTTGTGTGGAGATACATCCAGTGTGGTGAAACATCCTTCTAGAGTTGATGTATGGAGTAGAGTGAAGTGACCCAGTTTGCAGAGGTTGTAAAAAGTAGTAAAGTTTTCATAGTATGTGGAGCCACCTCTTCTTTCCCCAAGAATGGTGACACCTGTTGGTGTTTTACATTTTTGTTAAGTCAGTAACCAAAGAAGTGTAAATTTTCTTTTGTTTTTTTGTGGTTGTGTTATTTCCATAGAGGTTCAGGACTTTATTTTGCAGTGAAAAATGAGCCCACAGTGACTGGAGCAAAAAAAAAAAAAAGCTCTCAAAAACTGCTTGGAGTTCAGATGGCTGAACATTTAATGTCACATTTGCTGTTGTGTATTCTAATAAATTCCCAACTTTTAAGAGCAAACAGGTTGCTATTTGTCTTTGTGGGGCAGAAGGTCAGAAGTTGTGACCTAAATTAGTCAAGTGACAGAACATTATTTGTTGTAATTTTTGACCTAAATATGAATCTTTATCTGTAAGTCCATCAGTGTGTAAACATTTGGACATTTTGTTGGGTTGCACAACTGGCAGCGTAGTATATAGGATTCTGTATGGTTGTGTTGTGTGAGTGTTGTTGCAGTGACACAGTTTTCTGTTCCTACCGCCTGCAGGCGCTCAGTGAGAGACTGTTTTACTACATCGCAGTGTCTCTGCTGCCCCACGACACTCTGTGTGAGCTGGAGGCAGCGGTGGAGAGCGGAAGGGCCCTCAGCCCCATCCTGCAGTGGCACAAGCACCCCAACGACTACTTCAGCAGGGAGGCTCAGACGCTCTACTTCAACAGCCTCCGAACGTACTGGCAGGAACTGATAGATCTGACCAGGTGAGCAGAGGAGACACAGCTGCAACTTAAGGCTCTTCAGACTGACAAGAACCAGTTTTGAGTCTTTAATAAGGTTTCATTTTGATTCAGCTTATCGATTTCAAAACAGTTCACTTGTGTTGGTGTACGAAAAGTTGCTGCAGAGCGTAGAGCAGTGCAGATGTGTGCAAAGTGTGAACGGTAAAGCGTCAGATCAGCAAGCGGCCAGCAGCTTTAGCCCCGTTTAGCCCTGAAGCTAACAGCTTCCTGCTTCCTGACAACAGTTTGCATGAAAGAGCAGACTGACACATTGTACTGCACCTGCTGCATAACTGCTGCTATCTGTCTACACTGTTCTGCAACCTGAATGCATGTTTTCTATCCCCTGATGTATTTCTCCTAATCAGTCATGATTGGAGCATTATTGTTTTCCTGCTCAGTCATTGCTGAGCTGCTTTGCTTGTAGATGAGCTGCACAAACTGTGACTCTCCTGAAGCAATTTAGAAAAAGCTGCTGTTTTACAAGACTCTGTCATTACAGTAAAGTGGCTGAAGAAAACACTAAAATATAAATGAAAAAGTAGACCGTCATATTACTTTATCTAGCTCGGTGTTTCTGCTGCTAACATTCATAAGCAGAGTTTCACAAACTCTTCTTACAAATGCTGCAAAAAGTTCAAGAGCTTTAATGTGCAGCTGTCATGTACAGAGCACTCAGTGGTAAAATATATGTATTAACCTACACGGTTGACTATTTTCTGCCAGCTATCCTCTTGCATTATTTGCAGTTGCAGCACTTTTTGCTGTAATAATTTTTGAAGTATTCATTATACCAAACTTGGTCCTTTTGTCTGAAGTTGGCAGCACACGATTGGCTCATTTTGTGCAGACGAAAAGTAAAAATTTATGGAAGCGCCATCAGAACCTGATGAAGAAAAGCTTGTCAACAAAGAAAGTTGATGACCACCATTATGATACGTATTGTCTCTTATATATGTTGTTTAGATGCACCTTTTGAGCTTTTTTAATGCACGACTCAGTGGAGTATTTCTTCTCTCTAGTCTTTGGCGAACAATTCAAACCGGACGTCCTGGTTTTTTGTTTTATCCTCACCAGCAGCACGCCCACACCGACACTGTCCCGTCTGTTGTTTTGCCAATAGAGCTGTTGTTGGTCTCGACCTCAGAGCTTCCTCGTTATCTGCTTCATGCATATTGTTCTTTCCGTTTCCAGTCCAGGCGAAGTTCCAGAAACCCGCGAGGCTCTGCTGAACGCCTTCAAGAGGCTGGACAGCGACATTTCTCTGGAGGCTCAGGTGAGAGCTGCATCTTTTGATAAAGAACATTTTTCGGATTTCTGAATCGAATACAGTCGTGAACCATTTCTATCATGGTTGTCTAAAGTTTCCAATGACTCCTATAAGTCCTAATTTTCTATAATGGAATCATTAGAACACATGTGTCTTTGTCACAAAGAACATTTGTACATTTTGGTTCTTTCATAGATTTTTTAAAATAGATTTTCTGCAAATACGACAATCTGCAGGGTCAAAAATATACATACATAAACTTGAATTATCAGTGTTGCCGATGTAAAATGTGTTACTGAAATTTTCTTCGAGCTTCTCCTGAGTCATTACATTCGACTACAGCTGATGACTTCTCTGAGCCAATTTCATTTTTGTGCGGTTTTAGAGTGTAGTGTACAACCACACCCGCTGTGGTGTCCTGCTGTATAATAACGATTACTTGCATTGTATAATAGGGCCCATTTGATAGCAGGAGTCACCAGCTGTAGTCAACTGTAATAACTCAAGAGACATTAAGAGGTCATGCCACTAAGAACATTTGATTAACACAACTGTCAACATCCACAAACTTGTTTCCCAATCCTGAGCATCTTTGACACAATTTGCCAAATAGGATTGTTATAGTATTTAAATTTATTTATTTGAATAATATTAAGGTACACTTTTGACATTTGCTAATCTAAGTTTAATTATTTTTTCTGTTCAACCCTATGAGACTGTTTTCAGGGTAATTTCACTACCTTTACTTTTAATCTCTTGTCTTGGTCATTACAAAGGCTGCTA